GAAAATGAGCTGATTCCAGGAACCCAAGAGGAAAGCGAATTTTGGGAATAATGAGGGTAACAAATGTATAGATGTGCTTTACACAATTGATCTATGTATTGTGATGAATTGAATGAGCCCCAATAAATTGATTTTTAAAAAAAGAGTACAAAATGTGAGCTTTATAATCACACACACACACAAAATGATGATAAAGGCTCCCAGGATGAATGCATCACAATATGTTTGCTGGCATCCATCAACTCCCCCACTCAGGTGGATGGGAGACCTCTCTTTCTGCCCACGGTTCCCCTTGCTCACTGCCTGCCTCTGCTTCTCTCCTCTTCGGGATCCTTTACCTCCCTCCCTTCCCTTTCTGCTCATTTCCTCCTCCCCTCTCTCCTCCCCTTCTCTGGAGTCCTCCACCTGTTCAGCCCCACTCCTGAAGTCTGTTTCATCTCCTTTTTTTCCTCTCCCGTCTTTCAGCTGACCCTCCATCTACCTCTGCGACTCTCTCCATCTTTGCACCTCATCTCCTCTCCAGCACACCTCCTCTCTGCCCTACGGACAACCACAAGCCCCTGCTCCTTTCCTGTTCTTTCTCCCTCTGAGCTCACCCTACACCGAGTGTCTGCACCTGCTAGCCAGGACTCTTCTCTTCTCTGCCCCGGCCCCCTTCACTCTGTCTGAAGTGCCACCCCACTGACACGGCTACCACTGGGAACGAAGGGCCCTCTCCTTTATTTTACCTCCTCTTCGCAATCTAGTATTACGTCTTGACTCTCGGTTTCTTTCCTCCCTGCTACTCTCTCGGTTGAGGAACCCCAGTGGCTGAGTGGGGGCTTCTCAGCAGGAGAGATGAGGCTTTCTACTCCTGTAAAAAGTTACAGTGGAGAATCACAGGGGCAGTTCGACCCTGTCCTGTAGGGTGGTGATGAGTCGGAGTCAACCCCTTGGGAGTGAGTTTGGTTTTTGTTTTCTTTTGTTTGCCCTCTCCGTTAATTGGGCACTTTAGGGTCTCTATGCAAGACCAGCCCCACCCCCACCCCACCCCCATCCCCAGCCTCTATTTTGCATCTATGGATGCTTCTCCGATGGTTGTTTTCTGACTTTTAACAGTTGTCCTTTCTCTTGCAATGACTTTCGGATCCCCAGGTCCACACGGGCCCTAGAGGGATGGAGTAAGGCCCCCGCTGCCTGGGGGTGGGATCGGGGACAAATACCACGGGGTGTCACAGGGGTGGCATGGGGTTCAGGGAGGAGGTGGTGAATACCGACGAGAAAAGGTGAGGTCTCAGGAACCCGGGATCAAGGAGAGGACCCAGCTGCCCATGCAGCCGGGGGTCGGCGTTACCCTCAATGGGCGACAGAGGAAAGGCCGTGACGCTCTCTCTCCGGGTAAGGACTTGACCCGGCGGCGCAGCGTGGGCAGAGGGACGAGAAGGGGTCTCAGCAGGAAAACGACCGTGCCGGCGCGTCTACACGCCTACACGTCCACAAGGCCTGGGCGGGGACCCCTCTGCGGGTTTCGGGTGGGTAGGCGGCTGCGGAGGGAGCCGGGCCGGAACCCCTCAGGAGATTTCCCTGGGGCGGAAGAGGCCAGTGCGGAGAGTTTTTAACGTCCGGAACGACCGCTGAGTCTCTAGTGTGGAGGGGCTGGGACCGCGAAGCACCGACTGAAGGC